TAAGTTATACCGTCTGCGCCGAAATTCGTCATCTTGTTATATTCGAGAGATACGCACTTCATTTAATTGGAGTTTTATTAATCAAGTTCAATTTTAATTTTAATTTCGGACGAGTATTTTTACTTAATACTTGTAAAAGTTATAATATATATGTGTTTTTTCGGCATTCAAACGGCATTTTGATTGAAATAATAAAAAAAATCTGAATTTACATATATAATGTTTAGTTTTGGTCTTCGTCTGGAAACGAAATTATACACAAATCAGCACCGCACGGGAATGGAATGTGTGCGATTTTTAACTGTTGCAGATTCTATCGAAATTTACTGTTTCTATTTATTAAACATGTTAAAACCGTCATGGTCGCAGTGTAAAAAACAAACTGTAAGTAGTCTCATATACATACAGATCCATAGAGGTATATACAGCCATACAGGTTTAGATACTGCATAGTCGGTAACGTTATTAACAATATATTATGTATAAATATAATATTATGCTTAGTAAAAATAATATTATTATTATTATATTATATGCTAGATGGCTATAGTTGCTCGAGACAACTTCCGTGCAATGAATATAAAAATTGTATTGCATGTGATATTATTGTAAATTAAATAATAATAATAGATAATACATAAATAAATAAATAAAACTCGAATGGAAGAAACAAAAGAATAGCCTGCTCCGCGTGTTCCGTCCGTGAATTCGAGATTTTTTTTTTTTATCGAATAACGAAAATAGCGATGATAAAAATACAACTTTTTGACCGTACGTCAAAATACTGCTCGCACACGCATTTATATATAATATATATTTATATTATATGTACGAAAGCACGCATTCGCGTATATATTATATTTTTATAGATGTACCACGCTGCTATATATTGTGAGCAAAAAGCGCACACGTTAACACGTAGTATAAACAAATAAAATAGAAAAAAAAACATTTTAAACTTGAACGTTAGAAAATTAGGAGATAAAAAATATTATACCTATATATATTTATAGACACGTTGAATAAAACTGTATGTTTGTACGGATTAATGAATACATCCGCGATCTACACCAAACGTTAAAATACAAAATAATTTAATAATTATATTATAAAACGTATATCTATACAATATACATCTATATAGCTGTACTATAACTATACTAGATTTATAAATATGTATATATATTATATACACGGAAGGGAACGAAGACGCTCGGGGGCCACGAGTTATTTCGTGTTACACGTTGAACCACAAACGATTAATAAATGCACATCTCATAATAATTTATTTATATTAAACGATCGTTTAAAATATGAACAAAAATCGACACAACCGGTTACAATCAACTGTCAAGTCCATATCACATAATGGTTAGTAATTTATGTTTGATATACATTATAAAGGTATATATTAGATATTACACCTTTAGATTTTTTTTTTTTTTTTTTTTAATATCGCAATGGCGTTCTTTTTATGTCCCTGCAAAACCGTTTAAATACAGAGCCGCATGAACAAAAAAATTTAGAAATATGTACGTCATTTTTACGTTTTATCTATAAGCAATTTTTTTTTTTTTTTTTTTTGAAATATTCTACATAACACCAATTGGTTTACAATAAAGCAACTTCTTCGTAAATATAGACTTAAAATTTTGATTGTTTTTCGATAACTATCTTCTATTGTCAATATCGTACATATTTTACATGAAAGCACTCAGCGCGACGTAACAAATAACAAATACGTTATCTATTTACATACACACATTATCTTTCTTTACTATCGAAGTATGTTTGGACATAATAACATTTTATACGTATAAGACCCATTGTATACCTAAAGTGTTGGAGGTAAACTGTTATTTTTGTGACCTAAAACGATCTCACTTTAATCATATCTCGCCGAAACCAAATTATTTGAAGATTTAAGTTAGAGCGATATTTCAATTCAATTTAGTATAGGTATAAATGCTTATATAAGATCATATTATTCGAAAGTATTAACTATAATTTATCGTTTAAACGAAATCATTAAAATATTTTTGTTTATATAAGAATAATACTGTTGAATTTAATTCTCATTTTTATAGACTTGTCTTACAAAAAAAAAAAAAAAATTATGGACCATTTTATAATGTTTTCTACTGACATTTTTTGCTAATACAACGATTTTTGACCAGGAATAATTTCAATAAACACCTTTCAAACATGTCCGATCATACATGTCAACCTTAACAGAGTCTGAGTCGTACTTAAATATCGTATATAATATATGTACTATATACACAATATACATTCATAATATATAAAATATTACTTGCTCAACCCACATCAAACTGAATTTAATCAAATTCATGTGTGTCCACAAGGCCAAGGCGACAATAGTATTATATTTCGTGATTGTTCAACCTCGTACTAGGATAACATTGGTAGGTATTATATATAGTTGGAAGAAAAAAATTTCGAAATTTTACGAATAGAACTAGCTGCGGCACACCACTCGTTTACCTCGTTCGTCTTATTTTTAAATTTTGTTTTTCGTATTTCTATCGCATAATATATATATTTATTGTTTTTGCGACAGAATGATGCGGTTTCACTTTCCGCGTTATGGCTGTAGTCGCGGTACGTGAGATGAAAATTAAGCAGTGATTTAGTCCAAAGACTGGTTAATAATAACACGTGACACACCTATTGCACGCGTATAAAAAACGGGTAAGCGAACCGCAGACTCGCTCACAACTATTGTTCAAATATTTGAAAAAAAAATTTAGATTTATAAGAATAAGAACGGCGATTATACAAAACACATAAAACAAAAACACTCAATAAAAGTAAAAACTGTACATTACTACGTGCTAGGTTATACTCGTTTATAGTCTGTTAACTTACGCCACGCGTTTGTTCTAGTGCGTACGCGCGCGTCAAATGAAAGGGAAAAGTTATCTGGAAGTTAGTGATTTGCATAAATCGCCGCAGAAGTTAAAATTAATAAAAGTTTTTCTTCCTAATTCGTACTTAAAGCACGCAGTATCTATACAAAAAAAATCTTATATATGCCTATCATTTGTATAAATCGTACATATACATTTATTAGATAATTATTAATCAATTTTAACAGTAAATGATATTCCTGCATTAAAAATATATTTGCAGTGGTGTAATATAAATATGTTTAATATGCACACACAATACACTGTAATTGCGATTCGTTAACGAAACTATAATTTCGGAGCGTCCAAATATAGTCTTCAAGCATACAATATCGTATGGCCAAAGGTTCAAAAAAAGACGTTACACGGATTCGAGTAGTATTACAATAAATAATCGTCCAAAGATCGTACGTCTGGATACTTATTTATGTATAATTACTATTCTGTAGAAAAGAATGGAGATGAGAAAATACCTCTAAATTCTAGAAGATAATATTCTGTATAGATGATTTTTTATTTCGTTAATTTGTTGTATTAAATTACTATAATATTACTTATTTGTCTAAAAATATATACATATAAACACGTCGTGTCGTTGAAAACGGTGTATTTTTTCACATCAAGGTACAGCTAATATTATAGGTAGGTACCGTATCTATTAATTTTTAACAACTTTTCTATACCTATGTTTTTTGTTGTTTTTTTCGGTGCGTTTTATTCAAGCACCTCTTTATATATTTAGCGTAAATACTCTCAATAATAGTTAAATTTAATATGGCATAATAGTAATAACACTAATAATATATATAACCCATGGAACCGCATCGCAAGGTATACGTATACAACAGCGAACGCACTACTGTACAATGCGATTCGTCGTCGATTATGCACTAAAGCACGGTGATGGCGGCACCGGCGCGGAGTAATGGTCTGGTGAATTTACAAAAGCTGTCGTCGTTCGCGCGCATGTGTGGACAGTGTATTAATTGTATTCTAATGATTTATTTCGAGAGCTCCCTGTATACAACTGTAAAATATTATAGTAAGTATTATGTAGTCAAACTTTGTTATCACGTTACTCTATTGAAATTATCGTTGTTATACGATTTCTTGATAAATTAATAAACTTCTGGGAGTAAGACAAGGTAATCGAATAGGAGCACGATCGTGTGTAATGTATAATACTTATTATGCACGATTTAGAACTGTAGAAATCATCGCAAAAATTTTTCCGTTCTAAAAATACGTTCGCTTTGTAATAAAGGACTTTGTGTCTCTGACAAACGAATCGAATAGAGTAGGTATTTATTTAATATACACTCCTACTTACCTATTATAAATACAGCTCTACAACTAATACAGCTATACACGTCATGAATGTATACACACACAATGCACCAAGTATATATTATTAAAAATAAATTTCTAAAAAACAGATGTTAGTACCTAAGTGTAATGAAATCTGAATGAGGAAATTACCAACAAATTTATTTACAAAAAAAAAAAAAAAATGTGTACGGCAGAATTTGTGCCGGGACGGTTGCTGAGGTTATTGACCCAGTCCCCGCAGTTGCGGATTCTGTACGTCTACCTTCTACATCAGGCTTGAGGAAAAGGGGTAGAAAATGCCTATGACGACTTTTAGAGTTTTATAGAAGCTGATTGCTATTACATAAAATTTATGGACATGTATGTTTGACGGTGCTTATGACTAACTTATATTTTTAAGTGTCATACGAGTATATAAATATAAAATAAAGTTACTATAGTGTGTTTTATGGACATAAATTATACTTGTATTGTATTATAAATACGATAAACACCGGAACGCAAAATTGTTTGTACACCTATTTATTTTTTAAAATTATATTACTGTTTTTATTATTATCATCACCCTGTACGAGATAACGGATGAATTGTATATTATGTGCGTGGGGTTTTCTTTAGCCAAAAATAATAAGTATCGAAAAACAAGAAATCTTAACCGCGCAGCAACACTAACTAATATGGCAAGTATATATAGTCTTCAAAAATAGAATATGATAATATGCGTATATATATGAGACTGACCTGAGCGTTTTGTTCACATTTTTGGACTGTTTGTCGTCTTTGGGTAACCGAAGATAATCTTGATCGCCCAACAAGAACAGGTCCTTGGATATGATCATGGTTGTAGCGGTCGTGGAGGCAGTGGTGTCGCTAATCGTGGTGATCGATATTGGCGGTAAAAAAAAAAAAAATTAATACGATTTAACGGGTCGAAAAAAACGCGTCGGACGTTCTAAAGTCAAGCCCTCTCATCGGAATAGAAAAAAAAAAATCGTCGTAAAGTTGATGTATATTCGGCGGCAGTGACGGTGGGTTTTACGTATTTTTCCGCGGGTATAATTCGGACAGATTCAGAATTTTTTCGCTTCCGGTCGTTGTAACAATTTGCACCCGTTTTTTTTACTGTTTTAGGTATTTTATGTATGTGAAATTAAATCGCGCGGATCGACGGTGACGGCTGCTGTACGATCACGACCGATTATGCGATATATTTTTCTTGTATTAATACATAAGGTATATTATAGCGACCGTACGCGGAAACACGGACGTGTAGCTTTCGGGCAGACCGCTGCGGTGGCGGCACTCCTAACACACTGACAATGTGAAACACTGAACCAGATAGAGACGACTGCGCCGGTTACCCGGTTTCGTTCTCCAACGAAACCGCACGCACGCAGCACACTCACCCGCACGGCGGTAGAGACGGCGGTTCCGGCGGCGGCCGCACCGGCCAAAGCGGTACCTGGCGGATAATCGGCAAAGCACGAGCACGTGCGATCGTCGCCAGTGTCGCCGCCTCCTCCTCTTAAACTTACACGAACTATACAGTCCTCTAAGTACCTATGCGGGAGGCGGATACATAATGTAGTAAGTAATTCTCGGTTGCCGGGTCCAAGCAATTTGGCACATCGAGAGATTGACAGTTAAACCTCACGACGAGATATTACCCACACTATTATTAAAAATAATGTACGCTATCCATTTCTGACGGAGTGCTACATTTTTATTAGGTGAACACAGGATAGGCACTCACCTCATATAAGATAATATAAATTAAAGCACGTGACTCATTGACTAATTTTGTTTATTTTAAATAACAATAGATTTTCAATAAAATTTCAATCCTAAATAATAATGGATTAACAATATAAATATATGTGTTAAGTTACATTTTCTTGTAATATTTTAAGATGAAAACTATATTAATGTTTATATGTTAATAGGTAAATTACATATATAGCAGTAATTCTCGTCCGGTAAAAATACACGGAAAGTTCATAGATGTACGCTTAGAAAATCCTGATTTAAAAAAAAAAAAAAATTAGAACCATCTAATACATAACAGCTATTAAACATGTACCTATACGATAAAAACTTAAAATATTTGCGGCTGGTGTCAAGATTATTAATATGAAGTCGGGTATTTATTTCCTTTATTAATTCAAAATAACATTAAAATTCTTATTAAAATATTATTTAAACCATAATGATTATAATAATTTAAGATTTACATAAAATAAATAAGTATAGATATTAAATTTTATTTATTTTTTTTAACATTTATTTATAAAAAACTATCAAGTTTTTAATTAAATGTTTTACACTAGGAAAAATAAATACCAATGTATAATAACTTATACACTCTATTTAAACAAAAAAAGAACGATGATAATTATTCAACACTGCTAACACTAAGTGGTAATAATTGATAATAATATACTTTATTTTAAGTATACCATTAATAAAATTTGTTGTCTTATTTATTTTACTAAAATAATATTCTCGTTTAGATCATTCTTATAAATGACAATATTAAAGGTAGTTCTCGAATTACCGAAAAGTCGTTCAAGCACGGCGATACTTAATATTGCTATTTGCTACTATCTTAAACCTTACATGAATATTTTGCTACATTTGTATAAGTAGGTTATATTTTATTCAAACTTTAAATTTATATATTTTTACAAATAAAATAGACGAGTAATTTTAAGTTATATTAAATGATACGGTGTAAAATAGTCTATAAAATTAACGTAAAACAAAAAAAAAGGAAAAAAATAATTTGTTATTTTTTAATAAGATTTAAAGACGTATTTAAACAAAATTCCGGCATTAAGAATTTATGTATTTTCTGAGATTGTGTAGATCCAGAAAGTAGAAAATTTTAAAAATCTCGAAGCAAAATATAGCGTATTTGTAGCAAAATATTGATCTCATTATATCACTCGTTTTAAATCGATTCCTATTATTCACTTTTAGATATATAATTTTGATTTAAATTATTATAAATCTACATAGTTGATGTTTTATGTGTTTTAAATTAATATTATTTCAATGTTTTGATGTCAAGTAATTTGAATTAAATTATTTATTATTATATATTTGTTCCCTTATTATATTAACATAATTGAATACATTAATATAACTTTTGATATTTTTGTTATATTTTAAAAGCGATACAATGAACTAATTTAAATTGTTAAATAACTTTATTTATAGGTTTAGGTCGTTACATAGTTTTAGCTATCATCAAATTATATTATTGTAAAATACTTGGCAAGAACTTTTTTTTTAAATTTTGCCAATTTTTTGGCGGGTAATAATAATTTTTTGAAAATTAGCTGATTTAGTATAACTTGTTTGTCCCGTGTATAGTGCTGTTCTATATTTTTCATATTTAAAAATTGGATATGTCGCTCTCTGCAGTTTATTTCCGCATTAGTAAGTCACACTAATAGGTGTGTTCGATATTAATTCAATGATAAATACTATTAACTTAATACGATTAACAATTATTCTGAACGGAGATATAGTCACCCTATATTTCTAAGAATATGTTATTATACATTTTTTCGTTACTTGTAATTTATTTTTCTATTACCTTATTAGGTATAGGTTGAAATAATTTTTGATAAAAACAAATTGCATATATTATATTAATATATTATGATATTATTTTATAATATTATAAACTATTATTATCTTACATTATATTATATAACTCAACAAGGACGCCCGCAAGGGGGGCATGGCCTCTCGTACTTTTAGATTATAACTTATAACAACGTAGTGTTATACCCATATCATATACTATATATACAATATACATACAAAAATCGTCTGCAAGTAAGAAATGTACTTTAAATACATTATAAATCTTAAATTGCAGTTATATTTTTTTTTTTTACGATGTGATATAAAAAACAGAATTCATAGTAAATATATTGTTTTTGTGCCTTGTAATTCAATACCATAGAACACTATAGGAATAGATTCATAGTAGAAATATTAAATACCTTAAAATAAATCTAAATGTTTTGAACATTTTATTACGTATAATTAGGTAATAATACATATAGGTATAATAATGAAAACTTTTAATTTAATTTAAATAATATTTTTAAATTTCAATAAAATAAATAAAATCATAATTTTCTGTTTAATATACAATTTTAATGATCTTTAAAAACGTATAAGAAAGTTTTCTTTTTAAAATGCATTGGTTTCTAATAAAACAAATTAATCTTCTATTACATTTTCAAGTTTTAAATATTCAAATTGAAAATTTTGTACATATTTAACAACAGAATAATTTGAAAATGTTCATGATTTTTTTAAATTTAAGTTTAAATTACCTAAAAAAAAATGGGTCTTTATATATTTTTAAATTTTTATAAGAACAACGTAGGTAAGTGAGATATTATAATTACTTTTTCAAACTGTTTAATTAAGCCTAAGATTTTCGTTAAATTAAAAAAAAAAAACTAAGCAATTCAAAATTTTCAAATGTCTAAAGTTAGCTTAAATATTTCGAAAGTTTTGATATGTATAGATAATGATAATTTAAATATTTAAAGTGGAATGTTTCAAGTTTCTACGATTAATAATTTTCTAGTGTAGTTACAAAGTAGCTAATTCCCAAAATATTAATTAGAATAAATATGTAGTTATCATAAATAATCACCCTCATAGAAGTTTAAAATTAAAACATTTATATCGTTCCAAAGAATTATAATAATAAGCATAAAATACAAAAATCATTGTACAATACAATTTACATTCATCGTTTCGATAAGCATCCAGGTGACTGTACAGTAATAATTGAAGTTTAACTGTACTGTTATTGTAAGATCGCGTTTTTGTCTCTAATTTTTCTACTGTTTATCCATTATTCTTTTTTTTTAATTTTAATTTGATAAGAATTTAAAAATGTTAGTATTGTGATATCATATATTTTACTTGTACATTTATAACAGATTTTAAAGGAGAACTATACGATGTAAAGCGATATTCCACGATTAAAGTACTTTGAGGTTATTACCATTATTTAAATATTAAAATTGGATATAACCATATAACTACCTAATTTTTTAACAACATATTAAGAATTAAATGATAAAATTCTTTAATAAAAAACTAATAATTATTTATTTATTTGTTTATTAACGCAAATGGCAATTTTATAGTACATAACATAAATTATAGTTTACAAAATAAAAAATTAACATTAATAGATAACAAGTATATAGATATCAAGAAAATAAAACAGAAATAAAATATATAATACAATTAATATTTAAGATAAAAAAATATTAGAATATTAATAATTATCAATAGTCAGGTATCATAATGTTAGTATTTCATATCATTTTGTATTTTTAGCTGTAAATTGATCTCTTAAGTTTGGTTATATCATTTTATTATATTATTCAGTAACAAGTGTATAATATGCTTTATGATAAATTTATCTTGCATGTTTAGTATTTTAATGTATAAGTATAAATTAATTATAATTATTTATCTAATTTATTTAATATTAAAATTAAAATATTACAAATTGTCCATATTGTATTTGTACAGTTGCATAATTAAGAAGGTGGCTCACTCTTGAAATGTAATAAGTGCCGTAAAAATGTAAAAAAGGTTGATATGAAATTTTTATTTTCTGAATATTTTATTATTTTTAAATTGTAATAATAATACAGCTTGTTCTTAAAGGGATTATCTTTATTAATCTTTAATCATTACAAATATTAGATATTATAAGTTAATAGAATAAGTTAATTTGTTTTCTTTAATTGTATAATTTTGTAAAATTACAATAATCAATTAAAAGTATAGCCAAACTATTTATTCAACAGTGAAGTTCATTTTGTCATAAAATTTGTTATGAAATATAATACATTCACATATCACATAATCAAATAATACTTAATCTAATTTTAAATATTTTTACCTCTTTTAGTAATTATTCACCAAATGAGAACTTACCTACATAGTTAATTAAAATAGGAGTAGGTAAGTGAGTACCGCTCTGCTGTAGGTATATTTAGGTGTCAAATAGGTTAAATTTGAATTCAATGATAAAGTATTTTATACAAAAACGATTCTTAAAGGATACGGCCTGATATGTTTTTCTTTTCAGATATTGCTATTATAGCCATTTATTTTACTTTTAGTATTACGGTAGATCGATATAATTTTTTTTTGGAAAATGTATTATTAATTATTATAATAATATAAATGTATACCATATTATAAGCATTTATACATTTCAAAATTTAATTTTATCTATCTGTAAAAACCATACAACAGCAAAAATAAATTCATAATATAAATAGATATTATCTTAAAATAAATTAAAAGT